CCTGTTAGAGCTAATGCAGGGATTAAGAGAGAGTAGTTTAGCTTTTTATCTATCTGTCTATATATAGTTAGGTGTTCGAAGAAATAAATTAACTAGAATGCTGCCCTAAAGATTTTATGTTTCCATGAATGTTTGTTTCACCTCCTTGACATTAGAAAAATATATTTTTAAAAATAGTAATAATTCTTTTCAGGGTGTTGTACAATATACATATGAATTCAGGGCACTGGACAAGAAATTGATTTTCCTTTTGTCCTAGTAATGTGGTATTTTTATGATAGAAATGTTTATCAGTGGAGTTAGTTATATATTAAACAGCAATGATGTCTGTTAGACATTCTACTATTTGGTTTCATAGAAAGATTTTTGTCTCTGAAACATAATGTGAAACCCAAAGGGTACAGCAGAGGAGGATGACTGGTCCTGAATACAGCATGTTTTTCACTTTAGTCCTTCTGTGAGGCTTCAGAGTCTCAGTGACAAAAAGAGGAGTTCTGCCTAAGAGAAAAGAAAATTCAAACCTTTAATTTTGAATTTGCATTCCCTAAATCTACTATACATTGTCTTCCCATTTCTTACTCCACTGAATTTTGGTAACCTATGCTTGTTGCCTTTAAGTTTTTGTATTAGCTTCCTGTTATTGCTTAACCCCTGGCAACCTGGCAAGAGGTTCCATATAGGAAGTTCATGCTTTAATTGTAGTGCAAGTGCTGTAGTACTTTGAGGTAATACAGAATATATTTAGAGTGTATTTTGGAAGAGTTTATCTATGTAATTTTGGTATTTAAAAATGTCATAGTAACCATCATGTGTATCTTCCTTGCTCAACTGAGTTGAGAATTTAGAATGATTTGGGTTGGAAGGGACCTTAAAGCTCATCCAGTTCCAACTCCCCTGCCATCAGCAGGGACACCTTCCACTAGACCAGGTTGCTCAAAGCCTTATCCAGCCTGGCCTTGAACACTTCCAGGGAGGAGCAGCCACAGCTTCTCTGGGCAACCTGTTCCAGTGTCTGACCATCCTCACAGTGAAGAACTTCTTCCTAATATCTAATCTAAACCCACCCTCTTTCAGTTTAAAGCCATTACCCCTTGTTCTATCAGTACCTGCCTTTGTAAAAAGTCCCTCCCCAGCTTTCTCGTAGGCCCTTCAGGTACTGGGAGGCCGCTATAAGATCTCCCCGGAGCCTTCTCTTTTCCAGGCTGAACGGCCCCAACTCTCTCAGCCTGTCCTCACAGGAGAGGTGCTCCAGCCCTCGGATCATCCTGGTGGCCTCCTCTGGACTCGTTCTAACAGGTCCATGTCTTTCTTGTGTTGGGTCCTACATTCAGACTTAACTGTCTTTAACTCTTTCACCAACTACTACTGTTTAGCAAAGAAAATATAAGGGAACTTGGTTGTTGTGTTGTCAGTGTGCCAAACTATCTCCTACAACGTATCAAGAGTGGATGCTAAGGCAATTCTCATCGTTAACTGTTTTAAACATTATTCTGTAAGCATCATAGGAAATCATGATACATTATGATGCAAGCATCGTCTGAAATTAAGCTGCAATTAAATTTCAAAGGGATTCACATCTTCTCCCTGCAGGACTAAATGATGACAGGCTGAAACTTGTGCAAGAGGATCAATCTAGATATGAAAACAGGTATCCCAGACAACCTAAAGTTATTCATAGAAACAGGAAGATGTACTCAACGTTTCTAACCATTGCACGTATATAACCAGAAAAAGGCTGATAGTTACAATGGAAATGTTCATGATGCAGGCTGCAAAATAAAAGGCTCTTGGCCTTATTAGCACATGTGGGGAGAAAAGATTGGGCAGTTTTTCCTTTGTAATTTAGAAATAAAGTTAAGGCAAGCTTTACTTTATAAAGGATAAATAGGAACATCAGAATAGTTTAAAAAGGCTATGTATGTAATAGGCTACAATATCTACTAAAATATTTCTGACTGTGAGATAAAGGAGGATCTGAAATTCATGTCTAGAGTGGTTGTCATGGATTCACGTGTATCTGCTGGTGTTTCAATATGGATCTGTGTGGAGTTGTTGTTCTTTTGGAGGCACAGAGGAAGAATTCTAATGAAAGACAAATTCCCTTATTTCCCTGAACAGGGGATTTTTTTCATGTTTCTGTATTTTTAGATGATGCATTCTGCTGATGCTTCTCTATTACATTCCAGTGTAGTCTCTTTAACATTTTTGGGGATGGCTTTTGTTCACAAATTTATAAAGATGGCACAAATGGACTTCATTTTCCTTTTTGTTTGTTATTTGAGGACTACAAAGTCTAAAAGTCACAATGATTTATTTGTTCCAGTCCAGGACTTCAAGGACATAGCTGGACTTATAACAGCTGCCTAAGATTGGTGCAATGTTCACTGTGTTCTTTATATCTATCATTATTCATGTATTGAATCAAACCAGAAATCAAAGACATTGATTTTTAACATTGCTGTTAGCTGAATTACTCAGTCAAATCTGCAAGCAGCACTAGGTGTGTCTTAGGTGACTGTCATGCACTATTGGTTCATTTATTTAAATCTTTTCATAAAAAAAATATTGTTTTCATGGTTGGCTTCATATAATTACAAATCATTAGTAAGGTAGAAGAGAAAAATAGCTTAATGATCTGAAAATAAGCTAAGCATGGATTCACTTTTTTCAGTTAGAAAAATTCCTTATCACTAGATTATTTAAAAATACATGAAACATTTTTCAGACACATACTTTTCAACTACCCTATCCAAGAAAGACAGTATCTCAAGTTAGAAGATAAATAAGAATAACCACATACCTTTTCAGATTTTCTTCTGTCAATGACTTCTGAGTTGCTTTAAAATCATAAATTTGAAAAGCTATCTAGCTTTAGTTTAGGAGTAGTTACTGTTTCAACCTCTTGCACTCAAAAAAACCCCCCTCCAAAATCCCCCAAAACTCAAACTCAAAAAAAAAAATATCCACACCAATATTTATAATAGAAATAAATAATTTCCCTAGCAAAATGCACAGCATTTGCTAGATTGAAAGCTGGAATAACTTGCACAGTCACTAATATTAGAAATTATACTGAAATAAAAGCTACTGGAAAAGCAGATATAAATTTTGCCAGCAAGTTTTGCTTAAAACTGATATTTACTGAAATTCCCAATATCTGAACTTTATTAAATGCATATTGTAGGTTAAAAAATAGACTAGTTTGAAACATGCAATTGTTTCTTACTACCGTGTCAGCAAAGTAAGCAATAAGCTATTTCTCTTATGTCTGCTACTTTAGAAAGACTGTTTTATGGAAAGTAACTTTTCTCCTGTGTTAAATTTTACTATTTTATCAAACGGAATATAAAATCTTCTTGTTACCTGTAACCTGAACTTTTTTGCAAGGTGGTGGCCAGGATCCCTTTCAGGGCTGGCTACAGACTTGAACTGTCAAAAAATGTTATTTCTTGGACAGCAAATCTGTACTATTTATTCTTCAAGCAAAACTTTTTGAAAACCTTTAGCACAACCATAGGCCTGATTTTCTGAAGTGGCAGATATGTTTTATTCAGCTCTCCCCATGCATCTCAGATCTGCTCTGCAGTTCTAAACTTAGCCTACTTTTGTGCTGAAGATGCCACTTATTTTCAGGTTCTGCAACGTGGACAATGTTGTCCTTTGTAAATATGTGAGGCAACAAAATTCCAGTAAGTTCAGAGAGAAACCAGTCAGAAGAAATCTCACAAAAAGCATGCTTTCAATAAACATCTTAATTTACAATGAGAATAAAGACTATCTCTAACCCAGGCTATGGAATCCAAATGGAAATCCAGGTTTCATTTACAGCTCTGCTTTTAATATAGCTTTCTTAAATAAATTTGAATTTAACTGCTTATCCACAGTTGTGCAGGACAACAGAGCTTTGCTCAGGGGACACGTGTGGGACCACAGAGGGCCACATGTGGCCGAGAAGGAGGCAGCGGCTTAGGTGTAGCTGGTGTGCATGTAGTTCCAGATCCAAAATTGAAGTTAGGGCTGTGGATAGGAAGAAGATCCAGACTCTGTAGGGTCAGATGTATTTTCTAGCCTTCTGAACATCCAGTGTGGGCTTGAGAAGACCCTGTTGTGTGTCTGTCAGGGAACTGGAAGATGGGGGTTAGTGGGAGATCACCCTTCAGTCTTACTGTTGTCTTTTTTTTTTTTTTTAAGTAAGTCTGTGTTCATTTGTAGAACTTTTTGAGAAGGGCACAGCCCAGGGCTGTATTATTACTGAACTAGAATGAAAAATAAACCTTTTAAGAATGGAGGAAGACCTTTCTTCAGGAGCCATGCTTCTAACTGTAATAAAGCAAGTATTTCATTTACCTGCTAGTATGTGAAGGAAACGAACAACCTTTTTAGTGCTGCATATTATATAGCTGATGCTTTTCCTAAAATACCTGAAGTACCTTGATACCAGGAGAACAGGCACTTTAAAATCTACTTACGATCCACAAATGAAGTGAAGAGCATTCTGAATCTGCTTAGTCTACTGCCTTCGTCTGCCCACATTCGTACCACGCCTGTCCCAGTCTGCAGCGTGACATCGTTCGCTACGGTGCTGCAGAACTTTGCCTTCAGGTTTTCAATAGAACTACTTCCATCATATACAGCAACAAAGTTTCTTTTGCATTCATTTGAATGCTCCATTTGATAGTCAAGAAATCGCAAATAAATCTGTTAGAAAAGAGAAAAGAACGTCTCTAGGAAAAGTAATCCACAGAAGACAGTTTTCCTTCTAAGCAAGCCTTGAAGATGTTTTGTTCCCTCACACATCTGTGTAACTCCCACTTCACAACACTTTTAAACTTATATTTTCTCATTATATGTCAATGTGGAATATTACCTGAAATTTTTCTTAAGTATCTGTTTCACTTCTTTCCTCCCCAGAATGATCTTTACTTAATAATTTACTCTGATATATTTCCAGTCCCCTTGGAAAAAAAGTAAAAAGCAGCACAGTTGCTGGAGAAAGCCCAAGCAATGCATAAATGTGCTAAAAGACTTTTACCAGTATTTTGACTGTTCTCTTTTCTTTCTTTTAAATTCATCAAAACAATGCTAAAATGGAAGGGA